GGGCATGATACTGTGATGAGGGGAGGAGTGTGTGGTCGCACCAATTTTTTTTTCTGTACCAAAAGAGTTGTTGGCAGTTTTAAAGAATTCCTGATTAGACATAGTTGTAACTCAAACCTTTGGTCAATGGTCACACGACAGTTTTTTCATGGTGTTTAAAGAGACAAATTTATGTTGTGTGCATGTGCGTGAGTGAGTGAGTGAGTGAGTGAGTGAGTGGGTGAGTGAGTGAGTGAGTGAGTGAGTGAGTGAGTGAGAGAGAGAGAGAGAGAAAGAGATAGTAAGAGTTTGTCCATTAAAGAGCATTCAGCAAAGATAAAACACTAAGCCATAAATACTGTAATAAAATGACTTCAGCCTTCACAAACGGAAGTTGTTAATATTTTCCATCAAGGACCAGTTTTTCTTTCTTCACAGATTCTGTGACTGTATTTGTTGGGTTTCTGTGCACAGATCTTGTTCACAAGTGAGGAAAGACTGGAGCGTGAGATTGATAGATGGATCGGTGCAGCTTCTGCAGTTTTGCGGACTCTGTACTGGTCTGTTGTGGAGAAGAGGGAGCTGAGCTGTAAGGAGAAGCTCTCTGTTTACTGATAACTCTACGTTCCTACCCTCACCTGTGGTCATAAACTTTGGGTAGTGACTGAAAGAACAAGATTGTGGATACAAGCGGTCGAAATGAGATTTCTCCACAGGGTAGATGCGCTCTCCTTAGAGACAGGGTGAGAAGTTCAGTTATCTGAGAGACTCACAGTGGAGCCACTGCTCCTCCACATGGAGAGGAGCCAGTTGAGATGGTTCATCTGGTAAGAATGCCTCCTGGACGCCTCCCTAGGGAGGGGCTTCAGGCATGTCCAACTGGGAGGAGACCAGAGGAAGTACATGAAGTAAATGGGCTTCTGTGCACAGATGAACTCTGTTATGATGATTCTAAAAGTGATTTATACTAATGTAGAGTTTTACCATTTTATAGCTTCCCAATCACAGCTAAATCTGACTGATTCTATTTTAGTGTTGTGTTGAAGYGGAATCTGGAAGTTTTTCTCCTTTCAAAACGAGGCGCAGCATGAAAAGTCTGAGAACCACTGCTGTGTTGGTTTAAAATAAGCCAGAAGATAAAATGTTTTAAACGCTTGCAGCAAGCAGCTCTACAAGATATTTGATTCTTGGTTTAACTCAAATGAAACCACTTTCTTTCCCCGTCAGCTGCTACATGTTGAGGATGGCATGTGGTGCTTTTGATGGGAGCGGTTTGCAGTTGTCTCACCATGCCATCAGTGATGTACTTGCAGTTGATTTTGAGAAACTTCTCTGTGAGCGCTTCTTCCTCCTCGGAGGTGGATGATACCCCTCTGGACTGGCGCAGGGCWGAGAACACCGGAGGGTGAACACCTTCTGGTTTGGGGAGGACATCTAAATCCTGGTGGTGGCGTGGACAGGAAAAAGGAAAGGAAAAATCTATTTTAACACAGTTCAAACATTTTATACAACTCAAAAAAAAAAAAAAAAGACAGAAAATGTATCCAGTTGAATCAATCATGCACACATCACAAACTAATTCTCACCGAAAGAGGCAGCTTATAAATATTAAACACTGGAGGAAAAAAAACATGGCTTGGTTCACTTGGTAATACATGGAACGACTAATTTGCATCTCATTTCATCAGACTAATGTATACGAGTCTCTGAGCGTATCATCTATAAATAAACAAATATTTTCTGCACAGACAATCTGGTTAAAGATAGCACTGAAGAGCCAAATGGATGTGTGTTCTGTGAGCCTGAAACTCACAGGGTAATTAGATAAAACATTCAGATGAGACCAGAGCTTTAATTACTGTGCACAACTGGAAGTCAGATCAATGTTCTTCTTTTGGACACRAAGATGCCCTTGAGTCAAGTTAAGACTCTTACTGCTCATTTAGAGGCAGTAAAAATGTGTTAAGTCTAGCTCACAATAAACTATTATTAACAGTCATATTAATAAAATGTTTAAAAACTAAGCAAAGAAATGCATTATTAACATAAAATATTACCACTGAAGATACATAATGTCGACTTTAAATTGTGTCTTGAGAGAAACATTCTCTGGAAAAGGAAAAATAAATAAATTTCTGCAACATTACAAAAACATTTGTGTTCTTTTGTGGTGCATCTGCAGGGTTGTTAGGTYTGTGATTGATGGTTCAGGTTATTTCAGAACAGGCTATGGGCAGTCAGTATTTTACCTGCAGTAAATAGTTGTCTGAACAACCTCAGGTTAGCTCTGAGTAAACAAACAATAAGGTAGCAGCTACTCAGGTATTAGCCGTGTTTCCATCCAATTCCAATTCGAATTTTGAGCWAATTTTTAAAATTTYGCAAAAAGGAMAGAATGMATAAATGWGAATCAGAYGTGTTTCCATCAACTGGCTTRAAGCGAATCAGTTACGTCAGACACATGCGTGTAGTAAACAGGAAGTAACAGTYTATGAACAGTCATCTCTAGGTTGCAGAAACATTTTATTTACAGTTTAAGTAAAAGATGTGAACAACAGAAGAMTTGTCCATCCAGCCTTACATGTTGGAGTCAGAGTCTGACCCTGAACCAGAGGAGAATTAAGATGAGGAAATTGTAGTTGGTAAGTTCAGACCTTTTATGGTAATTCCGTCGCAGATAAATTTGCGTATTAGCTAGGGATGGGAAATCGTCCCTATTTTCTGATCATAAGATCATGGTCACTGGCTATCGCCGATAGACGATCCAATCGGCTGATAAGACATGCGCAGTTACGTTGTTAAAAAAAAGAAAAAAAAAAAAGGCAAGCAGCCAGGTCCGCTTATTACTGAAGCAACTTTGGGCTTTTTTTTTCTAAACTAGCTTGTAAATTCCGTGAGTCGCAATTGAAGCAGAACACAAGGAGCAGTGGGTTTGTCCCTCCCACTCCCTCGTTTCCTGGTTGTCGCTCCCGCCCAGCACACTTCAAACACACACACACACCAGAGCCCAGAGAGACGGGGAAATAAGCAGGGGTGAGGGAGTGCGGTCCGATCCGGTTCAGAACAGGTTAAAGTTATTTGTTCAAATGTATGATTGTCGTGGAGTGTTCGTTTTGTAACTAAACGTAATAATATAGCACTATTTGGGTCATTTGTGGCGCACCAAAGCAAGAAGATGACGAGAAGAGAAACGTGAATAGGAGCTGCGCATGTTGGGGTCGACTCCGAGAAAAAAAACCAACAAAAAATGGAGACGCAGCACTGTATATTAATTATTTTATTCTCTCATTTGCACATATCACAATGATGATGATTAAAAC